AAATGAATAATACTTGGTGAGTGAATGATATGTATCAAGTTGATTTAAACACAACTTTCAATTGAGAGACTTATGGAAAAAGAAAGCCTAAAAATTATTCAGATTTTGAAGAAGATTGAACTTATGCTACTCCAACATTAGTCAGTGTCCCTAACAACTGAAATGAAATGCCAGAGGTAAAGTGTGTAGCTTCATTAATCACCATAAAGATATTTGACATCAAAATAACCAACACATAGTTCTCTGAGTCACTCTGAAAGTTTGCTAGAAAGCTTTCGAGAGTAGTACACCAGAGGCCATTGTGTCACTTCATTACTCTGTGATGGTAATAAATGGAATGTAATTTGGTTTTACCATGGATAAATGCACATGTTATCTCACTATTTTACCAAAGGCATGGACCTCCTCGATTTAACTAGTATAAACATAATGCCTTAAGATATCATCACAACAACTTGAGGTACTAAAAATGTCTAATACCTGAATAAGTATAGGGGCTGGAGAATCCTTGGGTAGATCACATGTTTTCTTCTCTTTTTTGATCACATCTTCATAAACTTTTTTACTAGACCTCTCTCTGTGACAGTTCAGTTTGTTAGCCACATTCATTAGTTGAGTCATAGCCTCGGAACACATGGAACATTCATCACCTTGCAGTGCTATGGAGTTCACTAGGACAAACCTACAGTGAAAATTAATAATTAACAACTGCATCACTAAGTGGAGGTTGGGTGCCTGAAACATCCAGGAGCTTCCACTATTGGCAGCCAGCTCCTAGATGGAGACTTCCCCTATGGCTGACAAATCCTGGCAACCCAGCCATGAGCCCCCACACAGGAAAGGGAAGGAGGGAAGGGGTGGGGAAAACAATGAGCTGCTACCCCTCACGATGCTGCAAGTTCATGCTTGAATCACATGCAAGAATGCCTGTTGACTACAAGAGAATGCTGATGCTCTTTGTTGTTAACTCTGTTAAATTGCATTTAACTGCATTAAATGCAATAAAACAAGTAGAATGTGAAACTACACAGCATCAAAAAAATATTCATTACCTTCCCCAAGGTTTATCATATTGGGAAAATACCTATTTGAGGGGAAGTCTCCAAAGTAGAAAGTTTAAAAGCAAACAAACAGGGTTTTCAATGACAGTTAATTTTTTCCACATGCAGCTGCTGATGAGGTTATAGGCAGCTGTGACTGGAAAGGGACCGTAAGGGGAAACCCAGGTTAGAGATTAAACAGATGACAGTAAGAGGTCTTATAGGCCACAGCACACTGCTAGTAACTGACTTCTCATGAAACCCCTGAAACAAGTACTATCATGGAAAAGTAGATTTCTAATGGACTGTGAAGTTTACTTAAGGCTAAAAAACCAAAAAAAGACAACAACAACTTACAAGTTTCCTCTAATGTTCAGTAGTTTTACTGAGGGAGAGTCAAACTCAGCTGAAAATCGTTGAAAGAGATGCTGATCACCAGATGCCCTTTAAAGACAAACGCAAAAAAAAAAATGTCAAGTAAAAACCTCAACAAGCACACTCCTTAACTTTAAACTCCCATGAGCTACCAAGACAGAATTTTTCCTTACAATATTAACACAATATTGACAATTTCAATCCCGAATATAACATTTCTAGTGTTCTGTTGGTTCACTTAACTCCTGTTATAAAGTCATATTCTGAGTCACCTTAAATGCATTGCACCAACTGTAGCAGAGCTGACAAAAGCTCCAAACATCCAAACATTCAGGATTTCATGAAATTTAATGAAACAATTATTCCATTTGTGCTTGTTGGATACAAGTTTTGGTTATAGTCAACTCATACCCAACATGCACTCATGGAATGTTTGTTAAATAAATTATAACATGGTGAATCTGTGCCTAAAGGGCATTAAAATAAAGTTTATGAATATATTCTTCTACACTTACTCATAGTGAAATCCAATGTCATGATTCCCCACCACAACATAAAATTTGGTACGAGTTGAATGACGAAACATCTTGTGAAAACGCTGGATGTACTTATTCCATTCCTGTTTTACAGTGAAATATTCTGTTTCATTAATTTAATTTACTGGTGGCTACTGGTATGTGTGAAAATTATCCCATATTCCTTCACAAACTTCAAGTCATTGAGCTGTGTTTTATTTTAGTGCCTCTTTCTGTGAACAAGGTAAACCTGACAGGCCTGGTTTCTGAGATCTCACCTGGCAATTCCTACCTTGGTGCAAACATTGATGTCTGTCCAGAGTATCTGTGCCTGATCTCCACAACAATTCCAAACATGAACATTCTACAGACCTGTCTTGCTAAAGTTTTAAGCCTCACCAGTCACAAAATAAGCTACTTCTTTACATTCAAGATAAAAATTTGAAAAGGTTTGGAAATTCAACAGCAAAAACTTGAGGGAATAACAAAGAAGGAGTGGTTTTTCTGATAGGACCCAGATTACTACTCATCAGATCTATATTTCTGAGTTAAATTACAAATTTCTTATTTATAAAATAATGAGACCACGATGTTGGTGAGTTCTAGCAAGCTAAAATGTTTTAATCTAAATGGAGACAAGTAACTCCTTCAACTGCACATCTGTCACCAGCTTATGTGTTTGTGTACCAGTTAACGCTTTTGTCTGCTCGTGTAGGTTTTTCACAGGATTTTTACGCTTTAAAATAAATATTTTGCATTAAAAAAAATCATACAGAGAAATCCTCTGCACCTATCTAGGCAGCCTTACCTCATCACTACATTTCATACCCTCATCGAACAGATCCCCAAGTAAAAAGATGACATCTGGTTTGAAATAGGACACAGCTGTTTGGAAAGCTCTTTCCATTTGCCATTCTCTCCGCAGTTTGTCAAACCAATGGCCATCTTTCGACCCTAGCAAGTGTGTATCGGTCAGTAACATGGTCCTGAGAGGTTCGGAGGACTTTGCATGTTCCTCGATAGTAAATACCGGCCACGAACATTGAAGTATCACCATGTAGTAGATAAACCATTCGCAAAACACGAATAGGCAAACAGCAAAAATCGCCCCTCTCTTTAAAAATCCTGCGCATACGAGAGCGTTTGACGTCCTCATTATTCCGAGAGGAAAAATCATCAGTCTTCAGCAATTTCACTTCAAATCACCACCCGGCCAGGTTTATGAAAATTAGCCATCTAATATATAACAACAAGGCTCACTGTTGTTCGCAGGTCGAATTCCTATGGTTAACTTCCAAGAACAACCAATTTTTACCAAAATTGTATGCAGTATTCCTCCTCTAAATAATAGAGAGGAACCAACATGTTGGGATTCACTGCAGACGTAGACTTTTACCCCTGTAAAGTGCAAAAAATCATTCGCTCGTTTGGTGTAAATATAATTCACAGCCTCTTCCACACAGTCTGGATATTGAGTTTTAAGTGACAGGCTTTCACATGACGAGGGGAAACTGGGACCAAGTGAATCGAACGACGAAGACATGACGTCAAGAGTGAAAGAGATCACAAACGCAGAGGCAAAGGAAACACAGTCCTTTTTGTCCTATGAGACAATCGACAATAGCTCGTCCATTACAAAATTAAACGCAACAGACTCAATCAAGTCGAATATCGATTCTTTCGATAAATCGTTTAAGTGACGATCCAAAGCTCCAAGACTGAAGTGTGAATGTTTCTTTAGACCCGCGACCCTTACCTCTCAAGATCTAATTTCTTACACGAATTTAATTTTACACCAATAAAATGAGGTTCGCGTATTATCGTCAATTTTTTCGCTGGAATTTTTTTGAAATTGTTGAGAGAGAGATTTATTTTTTGTCTTCCTGGTTATTTTCTTTCCAGTATCGCGTGCCCCTCACTGTCAAGAGAGCAAGTACCGTTACCGGAAGCAGCACTTTTAAAATCTTAACTCCAAGCAAAATAAAGTGAACCGAAATTCAGTAACTCTAAGTGGTACAAGGTGTGATTGAATTAGATCAAAATGAGTCACACAATCTAATAAGATTCCTGGGAGTGAACCACACATGCAAAACCGTGGTCGTGGCTCATCATCATCCGCTATTTACCACCCCATATTATGTTTTAAACTCTTCTTTCCATAGGGAACGGTTCGAGTCAATCGCCCAGAAACAAAGTATCAAAAAATTTTTCAACGCAGCTTTTCAGTCTGGAGAGGAAATATACTTGCAAATATTTGAAGGGGGAGAAATATCTTGCTTATTACTAGCGAGCAAATCTTTGCAAATCATTCATATCGTATGTAACCAATTACCAGGGTGACAATTGCTAACTTAAGAAAACTTCTCAACCTATGGCCCCTTAAAGTGACTAGCATCTAACTTCTCCCTACTCTATCACCCCTGAATCAAAAATGAAAGTCATGAGAGTAGAGGAGATGACAATTAACTAAAGCTGCTCTCGATTGTTGAACAGATTCTCTTTGTCTGCCTCTTTGAAAATGTATGGAGAATAGTATGGAGAATATGCATACTGATGTTAGGGTGTAAAGGCTTCATTGGGGTTTGATCCTCCCTTGATCCTTACAAGAGGCTTTCAAAGCCTGTGTTAAAGATCAAATCTTGAAATGATGCAAAACACCAAGGATCACTCCATGGCTCCAAAGAAAAACGTTGGCACACTTGTTCATCAGACTGCAAAGCAGTGGCTAAATGATCTGTGCACTGAGCTCTGGGTCCAAGACCTGGCCGGTCAATGTG